CCCGCGCGCTCCGTCTCCCCCCCCCCCCCGCCCCTCCTTCCTTGCGTTCTCACGCTCCAAAATCCTTGCAGGGTTGAAGTTATGCCCAGGACGACCCGACTGCGGTGCTGGGCGCTCGGGGGAGGCCCCAGGTCCAGCCTCCCTGCGGGGCCCAACTGGACCGCGCTGCTGACCCCGCGCTGACCGCGGTCCGCAGAACCCCGCATGCACCTCCGCCGCCCTGGTCGCGCCGGCTCTGCACCTGCTGGGACCAGAGGGCGCGACAGGTCTCCCCACGTCTGTGGGCTCGCTCAGCTCCGGTGAGTTCCCGTCGTCCTCGCCATTCCTGTCGCCTTGGGGGACATGTTTACTCTGCAAACTTAGCCTCACCAGAACCTTTCAGGACAGGCTTCAGATGGACAGACGAATAAATCAGAACTCAGAGCTGAAGGGGGACAAGCCCAGCGGCTTAAAGGGGAATATGAAATTGTGTTTGACAGTGCACGTGCGTCTCTCCCTTTAAAAGCGATTACTTGGGAAATGATTTTTTAACTAGCAGGAGGCGGAGAACTAAGATAACTTGAAGCCTGGAAGTTTTCAAAGCTGACGATGAAAATAGTTTATAGGAACGAAAGTGAAAATAGAGTGATGGGATCTGTATAATAAGACTTGCTTATATGTGTGTCCTTTTGTATCATTGGGTTCTTTTAAGCATAGCACGTAGCAGGAGGGCAAAATGCCAACTTTCTTTTAGTTGGTACACATTAATTTTTAAAATGCACATTGGAAATTTCATGCAGGACAAGAGCTAGGATATATTCATGTCGTTTGGCGATTAAGGTTATTAGCGATATGTCTGGTAAGGATTGGCATGTAACCCTTTATTTCAGCAGCTAAAAGTACTATTCTCGTGCCTCATTAACAGTCTAGTCCTTCGGGTTCCTGGCTAAAGAATGGTTCATTTGTATTAAAGTTTAGCGAAGGGAAAGTTGTAGGGTTTTCTGTCCCTCATCTGTGTCTGACTGCTAGTGCGGTGTAAACAACTCTGGCGTTCCAAGTGATGCCTGGAGATACTGGGGGAGGTTCACTGGAGGGGAGGATCTCTGGACAGGAATCTAGGCCAAGTCACTGACTGCATGGAACCTAGTTATAAAAGGAGAGTATGACAAGTTGGATAGTCATCATTTGGGAAACTGCAACTTTATCAATGCATTTGGTCAAATGTGGAAAGGGAACTCTCTACTTCTAGAAAGCATCACTGTAATGATGCTCTTTGGAAATAATTTGTGAGAGAGAGAGGGAGGGAGGGAGAGAGAGAGAGAGAGAGAGAGAGAGAGAGAGAGAGAGAATATCTTAATATATAGCCAAGGCATGCAGGTATTGCAGGTATCAATAAATCTGTACTTACCAGAGGGGCGGTGACATTGAAAATCCTTGTTCTGCACACTTAAGTCACTTCACCTATTTAAAAATGATAGGGCAGTGGATTCCCAGGAAAATTTTAAATTGCTGTTTTGTGTATATTTTCTAAAACCAAATCTCACTTGAGATTTGAGAGGACTGAAAGCAAAAAGTACTAACTAGAAATAGTTCTGATGGGTTTGAATGTATGAACAGTTCATTGCATTGCACTGGGAAAAATTTAAATGCTTCTTGAGAGAGCCAGCCTCAGGCTTGAAGCTTCTGACTGTGAAGGCTCTAGCACTGCTCTGAAAAAGCCACAAGTCAGACACAATGGGCCACACACAGGATCTTAGTGTTGAGAGGAAGGGCAGATAATCCTTGTGTTTACTGTGCTCAGACTTAGATTTTTAAACAGGATTTGAGTGAAAACTGTCATTGAAATTAGCCCATGGCATAATGAATTGTTGAAATTAGGCTGTCAGAGCTCATCTGTGCAATCTTGTTTGTACTCCTAGATAAATGAGGAAGTGTTCTGAAAAGAGTGGCAGCAATGTATTCAGATAACTGGAGAGTTTGTTTAAGGAGAGGCTGAAAGAACTGAGCCCAACTCTGGCAGAATTTGATCCCTCCTAAGGCTGAAAGAATGGTGATTCTATGTGGCCAGGTAAATGACCCTAGCTTTTGTGACTCATTTCTCTAGATGGCATAAAGAGAGAACATTGCTTTAAAATCTTGGCTAAGAGGTACTCAGAAGGGGCTAATGTCATTCATTTGAGGTATTTCACAGCCAAAGAAACTTCCAACCACCTAAGGAAGGCATTTTGGGTCTCCTGGAGTGGAACCCAAGCTCCAGCCATTTTTTCATAAATTAAGTAGGTGGTTGTGAAGAGTGGATGGAATAATGGGTATGAAATGTAAGTTTGCTGTTAGCACCTGGTGAGCAGTCAGAAAGAATGGCTGCTCTTTCCGTAGAGAACCTGCAGACATGACTCAGGGGTTAAGAGCCGTTACTGCTCTGTCAAAGGCCTAGAGTTCAGATCCCAGCACCCACAATAGGTGGTTCAAAATACCTGTAACTCTAACTCTAATGGATCCAACACCCCTTTCTGGCCTCTGTGGGCATCTGCACACAGACAGAGAAGGAAGCATATGTGCTTCCACACATAGGTGGATTTATTTGTGTTTCTCTTTGTCCTTCCCCTCTCTCTTTCTGTCTCTTTAGAGGTGCCCTTGATTGTTCCTCAGCCTATACAATTCTGTTTGGGCTTCAACTCCATCCCTGAAGATTTGTTAACCTTCATTTAGGTAGTCTTGGTCTGGTCTGTGACCTTGTTCTCCATTGTATAATTGTGTGTGTCAAATGGATACAACCTTTTCCCTTTTACTATTCTCCCAAGGCACTCCCTGCCATTGGGGTGTATTGAATGCTCTTTTCTTGTGACAATCAGAAAATTGGCCCAACTACCTTAAGCAGAAATGGATTTAGTGAAGGAATAAGTGTGCATAAGAAACTTAGAATGGAAGGTTGCACTTAGAGAGGAGAGTGTTCTCCTGTGAGATCCATAAGGTTACTCCCAGGTGCCTGCAGAGACTTAGAGATGGCTGCTGACACCACTGCCATTGGCTGGAGTCTGGGAATTGGTCACCAGCAGATTGGTGACATCAAGAACAAGCCGTATTTCTGTGTCCCAGTGATCAGAGTAGCTGCTGCAAAATATGTCTCTACCCCAGGAAGCTGTTGAGGGAACACTGTGACCAAAACCAAAACAGGCCAGCCATCACCATCCCTAGAGTTCTCCTGCCTCCTTCTCCAGCTCTTCTCAATGGTAGAACCTAACCTGTGCATTGAACCCCTCAAGGGACTCTGGGAAATGCAGTGTATACCTAGCCTCAGAGAAGGAGAGATGTATACTACACTTGAAAGACTTAGCAATGAATGTTGAGTGATAAGCCATAGTGTCTAACACATATCTAAAATATAATTTGTCAGGCTGGAGAGATGGCTCAGTAGTTAAGAGCACCGATTGCTCTTGCAGAGGACCCGAGTTCAATTCCCAGCACCCACATGGCAGGTAACAACCGTTCATAACTCTAGTTCCAGGAGAATTTGATGTCCTCTTCTGACCTCTGTGGGCATTTCATGACATGGGTGCACTTACATGTATGCAGGCAATACACTCATGCATAAAATAAAAATAATAAATAAAATACTTTTAAAATAAATTATAATTTGTCAGGGACAGAATATTTAATTCAAGGTAGGTTGAAATTGACTTTGGACAATATGTTGTAAAAAATTAAAAAAGGAAATAGCTGCTAACCAAGTACTTTTTCAAACAGATGGATATTGTAGGGTTATTGTTGAAATTGCTAGAAAAGGCATTAAGCAAACAAATAAGTAAAACTTATTTCACCAGTCTCTGTACATCTAAACATAAAAGTATCCCTTTGGTCTGGGTTAGCAATCAAAGTAAAATATTAGAAAAATATTTTTTGGTTTTTATTTTGAGATCAATTAAACCTATACACAGAAACTTATGATACTTACTTAACTGAAAATACTTTTCATAAAGTAGCACACTGATGCTTTAAAATTTTTTATTTATTATTTGGGGGGGTGCTGAAGAGATAGCACAGCAGGTAAGAACACTGACTCTTCTTGCAGAACACCGGGGTTCAAATCCCACCACTCACATGATATTTATTATTTTTATTTTATGTGTATTCATGTATTCCCTACATGTAGGTAAGTGCACTCATGTCATGCAATGCCCACGGAGGTCAGAAGAGGCTGTCAGATCCCCTGGGACTGGAGTTACAGACAGTTGTTAGCTGCTATGTGGGTGCTGGGATTCAAACCCGGGTCTTCTGCAAGAACAATGTCCTGGTTTGTTTCTTCATTGCTGTGACAAAACACTCTGACCACTACCAACTTGGGGAGGAAAGGGTTTATTTAGCTTACATCTCCCAGGTTGTAGTTCATCAGGGAGCCCAAGGTAGGAACTCAGGGCAGGAATCTGGAAGCAGGAGCCACAGAGGAACGCTGCTTACTGGCTTGCTCCCCTGGCCCCTGCTCAGCCTGCTTTCTTATGCAACACAGGCCCACCTGCCCAGGGGTGGCATCACCCACAGTGGGCTGGGCCCTCCCACATCACTCATCAAGAAGATGTCCTTCAGACATGGCCACAGGCCAGTCCAATAGAGGCAGTTCCCCGATTGAGGCTCCCTCAACCCAGGTGTGTCAAGTTGACACTAAAGCTATCCAGCACAAACAACCAGTGTTCTTAACCGCTGAGCCATCTCTCCAGCCTCATATGTAACTTTTATGTGTGTTTTGTGTGCACATACAAGTAGAAGCCAGAGGGTGATGTTAGTATCTTTCTCAATAACTCTCCACCTTTTTTATTTATTATTTTTATTTTATTTTATGTGTATGAGTGTACTGCCTGCATATATGTAGGTGCGCCCAAGTCATTCAGTGCCCATGGAGGTCAGAAGAGGGCATTGGATCCCCTGGAACTAGAGTTATGGACGGTTGTTGGCTGCCATAATGGGTGCTATGAACCGATCCCAGGGTTCTCTGCAAGAGCAGCCAGTGCTCTTAACCACTGAGCCAGCTCTCCAGTCCTTCCACCTTTATTTTTTAAGACAGGATCTCTTTGTGAACTTGAAGCTCATCAGTTCTGGTAAGTCGACTGGCTGACCAGTGAGCCTGTCTCTCCCTACTAGTCCCCTAGTGCTGGGGTTATAAGCACAAGCCACAGTGCCCTGCTTTTTACATGAGTTCTAGGGATACAAAAATAGGTCCTCATGCTTGCCCAGTAGGCACTTGACAGACTAAGCCCTCTCACCAGCCCCAGGGAAATGATTTCAAAATGATCCTCTGCACCAAAGCTCCCACTGGCTATACATTTCATGTACCACAATACAAAGGCAGAACAGAATGCATTCAGAAATTATAGCTTCTGGCTGGCTCTTTCATTAGATGAATTACAAGTGGGCTGAATTTGATGAATCTTTCTTTTCTTTGTGGCATTTATAGTGTTCTCTCTAAGGATTACAAAGACAGAAATTACCTGTTTATCGGATTTCAAAATAAGAATATGCTTGAATTTACTCCAGTCAGTTATTTTATGCCCTGGCATTTGTCAGATACCTTTTTTTTTTTTTTTCAAATTGCTAACATAAATGTGATTGCGTCTCTTCTGTAACTGAGTAATAAATCACGAGCTTGTTTGTACTCAGATATTACATTAGTACATCTAGGAATAGTCTTGATTATTGACTAAAATCATCTTCAGTTTGCCTCTGAAACTTAGAAAATTAGAGAAAAGTATTTGAAAGAGGTAGAGGAACCTAGTGAATTTGTTAGTCTGTTGAATATATTTTCTTGAATTGATTTTTATGTCTCCAAAGCTAAGACCTATTCTGTTATCTTCTCTGGTAGTTGATGAACAGGTCTAAATGCTGAATTATAAATGTTACCTGGATGAATCATATATTATTACTATGTTCTTTAGGTGTAGTGATGCCATCAATAATTTATCCCCTCTACCTCTAGCCATCAAAAATGGACATATATAAATAAAACAGTCCTGTGAAAGCCCCTTCAAGTCTTCTATCACAGGCCCCCACCAAACTGTTGTCCATGAAGCTCACTTACTGTATCGTCTCCTGGAGGTAGCCGTTTTATCTAATATTATGATTTCATTAACTGCAAAGGAGAGTAAGGAATATTGATCTGGGGTTAGAGAGGAGGCTCATCAGTTAAGACCACTTGCTGCTCTTGCAGAGGATCCATGTTTAGTTCCTAGCAACCACATGGTGGTTCACAACTGCCTATAAGTCCAGTTGCAGGATATCCCATAACCTCTGACTTCCTCGGGCACCTGCATGCACATGGTTCACATGAACTCACACAGGCACACACATATACACATAAATAAAAATAATAAAGTAATCTTGTTTTTAAAAATATCGATCTTTCCACTCAGGAGGCAGAAGCAGGCGGATCTCTGTGAGTTCAAGGCCAGTCTGGTCTACATAGTGAGTTCCAGGACAGCTGGGGCTACAGGGAGACCCTGTCTCAAAAAGACCAAAAAAAAAATTGATCTTTCTATGTTATAGCAACAAATCAATAACCTGCCTGGTTTCAGTTTCTGTACCTTCTTCCAGCTTTCCTTTCATTCATAGTTGAGTAAACGTTGGAGCCAAAACCCTGTATTTCCCTTCCTCTGGGTTATAAGGATGCCATGATGAATTATTATCTTGTCTAAATATGTTGAGCTTACTTGAAGACAGAGTTGTTTACAAAACTGCTTTTATGGATAGTAAGTAAAAAATGGGGCTAGAGAGATGCTCGGAGGTGAACAGCACTTGCTGCTCTTGCAGAGGATGCAGGATCAGTTCCCAGCACCCACACGTAGCTCATAACTACCTGTAACTTCTGTTTCAGGGGATCTCAAGTCCTCTTCTGGCTTCCACACACATCAGGCATATACTTTGCGCATATACATATGTGCATGCAAATAGTCATACACATAAAAGAGGGACTAAAAATAACAAAAGAAATTCAAAATAATCTTTTGATTTGCTAAGTATCATATAATGTGAAACATCTGCATCTGAAGGGTCTTCCTGCTCAGGTCATTGAAATGCTGATTT